TTTATTTATTTCTTCTTGGTGTTTATTTTCTCTGTTTGTTTGTTTATTTGTTTTATTTTTTTTTGTTTATTTGACTTTCTGCAGTTTATCTTTAATATTTTATTTTATTTTATTTATTTATTATATATTATAAACAAGACAAACGGAGACAAAGACATAAAAGACATTAGCTGCTTCTTTTTATTATTTTTATTTTATAAACAAAACACAAAAAGCTGAAAAACTTCAAAGTGCGGCTGCCGGCCTTTGATAAAACAAAAAACAGTTTGTCTCTTTTATTTAAAAGGAGACAGTTTATATAAAAGATATATATATATTATATATTATATATATATTATATATATTATATAATATATTATATATATATATTTTACTCATAAGCAGACAGACAGCTTGTCTCTGCTTCTCTCTCTCTCTCTCTCTCTCTCTCTCTCTCTCTCTCTCTCTGTCTCTCTCTGTCTCTCTTCTATTTAGGAGACAGCTAATGTATATATATTTATCTCTTCTTTATTTAAAAATAGACAGACAGCTTATCTCTCTCTTTTAATTAAATTAAAACAGCATATCTCTTCTTCTGTTACTTAAAAAGAGACAGCTCGTTTGTCTCTCTTTCTTTTATTCAAAAGGAGACAGATTTTGTCTCTCTTTCTCTTTTATTTATTATTAGAGACAGTTTGTTTGTCTCTTTTACTTGAAGAGACAGCTTCTCTCTCTCTCTGTCTCTCTCTCTCATTTTCTTGCACTTAAAGGCAGACAGCTCGTCTCTTTTTTTTATTTAAAAGGAGACAGACAGTTTGTTTGTCTTTCATTTCAAAGAGACAAACAAACAAAAACTTCTGTCTCCTTTGCAGCCTGAGAAGGCCCTACGAGATTCTACCTTTTGCTTTAGGGTTTGCAGCAGCAGCCGCAGCAGCAAAAGCAGTAGCAGCAGTAGAAGCAGCAGCAGTAGCGGCACTACAAGCAGCAGCAAGAGCAGTAAACACCGCAGCAGCAGCAGCAGCAGCAGCACTACAAGCAGCAGCGGCAGTAACAGCAGTACGAGCACCAGCAGCAGTAGCAGCAGTGCAAGCAGCAGCAGTAAACACCGCAGCAGCAGTACAAGCAGCAGCATTATCAGCAGCAGCACTACAATCATCAGCACAAGCAGCAGCAGTAAACACCACAGCAGCAGTACAAGCAGCAGCAGCAGCAGCAACAGCATCTGTAGCGTTTAAATGAATAAACAATAAATTTGGTTTTAATATGCAGCAAAAATCAACAAGGGGCCCCTCTCTTCCCAGCCAATACCGAGACAAAGGAAGAAAATAAGGTTGCTGCTGCTGCTGCTGCAGCAGATGAAGCAGCGTACTGCATGAACCAACGGCTGCAACAATAAGACCTGCAGCAGCGGCAGCTCCATGTATGCTGCTGCTGCTGCTGCTGCTGCTGCTCCTGCTGCTGCTGCTGTTGCTGCTGCGATCTCCAGCCTTCGTCTTCGCGTCCCTCTACACCGCAGCAGCGGCGATCCATACGATTACACCCCAACATTCTGCGGTGTATGTGCATAAACAGCACTAGAACCTGCACTATAAACCGCCACTGCGCAGAAGCTGCTGCTGCTGCTGCGGCAACCGCAGTAGATGCTGCTGCAGCAGCAGGTGCTGCAGCCGCAGCTCCACCTCCAGCACCAGAAGCAGCAGCAGCAGGTGCTGTATGCTGCTTTTATCTACCGCGGAAGCCTCCACCTCTGGGGCCCCCACGGGCCCCTCTGGGGGCCCCTCTGCCTCCTCTGCCTCTGCCTCTTGCAAGCGGGCGTAGACCCGTTTCCCTCGGAGGTCTTTGAATAGGTGTATCATCAATAAGAAGAGTATCAAGAGGAAGAGAGTCTGGAAGGATAAAGTAGCGGATGTTGCTGCCTCTGATAGTTAAATGATCCATAGAAACAGGGTTCGAATGCTTGACTGTTAGTTTTACATTCTTTAAATGCGTATTCATTGCTACATCAACACCTACTATAGTTCCGTGCACAACCGTGCCATTCTTTAGCTCCAGAACCAGCGTCTCATTTGCAAGACGCATAAGAAATCGAACTAACTTCATCTTGAAGGTAGAAGGAAGAAAATCGCTGAAGAAACCAGAAATTCAACTTTGAATTGAATGCAGAAACGCCTGGGGGAAACCAAGAGGAAAGCGGGGGTATTAATGGTTTTCCTTCAAGAAATTTAGAAAATAAATCAATTTATATGGATATTCTCCACAGAAAACCCAATTAAAACACACAAAAACCATCAAACAAACACCAACATACACGATGCAGAGGGGAGCCTTAGGAAACTCTCCACTCAAGAAAAACAAGCAAGCACTAAATTGAGACCGAAGAGGCCCCTCCCGCCTTTAAAGGCCAACTTCAATCAACAATAAATAACTTATTTTATCATAAACCCCCAAAAATATACACAAAAAACCTCCGAAATACCCCTAGTCGGGTCTATGTCATGCAGTCGGTCTGCATGCAGCTGTACGTACACCTGGGGCCTTATTCAAATGTACAACTTGGGGCTGGGGGGTTTATTTCTGCAGTTTTTCTCTGAAATTAATTATATATTTCATTCTTTTCGCACTTTTACTCGAATTAAGAGTGTCTAGACACTTCAATGTTCTCGATGCATGCATGCAGCGGCACTTCTTTCTCCTCTATAGAGCTGTGGGGATGCATCGCTGCTCAATATAAATATATAACATATATAATATAATATGCATATGAATATATAATTTATTATATATAAATAAAACGTATGTTATTTATATAAATAAAGCGTCGTCTACATATTGACAATATATATCTATAATAGAATATATATATATATATATATATATAAGGCGTCTTATATATTTATTTAAAAATATATATGTATTATATAGAGTGTATATATGTTATATATATATGTATATATACATCTAAATAAAGCGTCATCTATATATATGTATATATATTATATAGATGACGCTTTCTGTTTTTTCTTGCTTCTGTTTTGTATTTACGAAAGACACATAAACCCTTACCTCCACCTATCAGCAGCCCCAGAAAGAGATATATATATATATATATGTAGCTCTGCTATATATATATATATATATTACCTGTAAGGATTGCTAGTAGCAAGGTGTATATCTTAGGGTTCAGGGTTTTATGGTGTATATGAATATAAATAAATATTTGACTGCAAGATGCAGCATTTATGAAAGAAAAAAATAAGGGTTTGTCTACGGTGTACGTACAGCATAAAACAACAAAAGAGGGTTTAGTTGTGCATACACTGCAGTGAAGTGCACAGCTACTAAAAATAAATGTTTTTAATAAACAGCCAAACTTAAAAAGAAATAATTATTTATTGTCAATTGAATTACTCCCTCTGCTGCAGCACAACTCAAAGAAATAATAATAATAATAATAATAATAATAATAATAATAATAATAATAATAATAATAATAATAATAATGAAGAGGCTGCACCAAACTCGATTAAAATATTTATTTATTTGTATGCTCAACTTAGTAAAACATCTGAAGGAAGGCCCCGGGTTCGAGTGTATCTGCAGCTTCTGCTGTTTGCATGCATTTGCATGCATTTTCATGCAAATGTTTGGGGCTTGCAAAACCCTAAACAATATTTGCTTGCCGTTGTTTTATTCTTTTTAAGGGGTTTAAACCCTGTTATCATGCAGTAACTCCCCTCAGGCTTCTTCAACACCAACGGTTTTAGGGTTTAGGGTTTAGGGTTTAGGGTTTAGGGTTCTCTTAGCAATCCATTCTCTGCATTTCTTTCGTTCCTTTTCACGCTTCAACGACACCACCAGATATATATATATATATATATCTATATATATATCTATATATATATATATATGAGTATATAGCTATGTATAAATATACGTATATATATATATGTATAT